TTTAAGAAATGGTTTGCTGCCTTGCTGTATACATGCATGTGTTGTTTCAAACATAATTTCGTTTTTGATAAGGAAAAACATTGTTCTATTTTGAAAGACAAACATTACCTAATTTGGTATGATAATTTAAATGCTCTAACTAAACCAGAACTCTTGAGTTTGATGCTGCAGTTACTGGAAAATATTATGAACTGTCTCTTCACCAAAAAAAGAAAAAAGCTAGTCTAGAGAATAGCAGTCTTCTGGCCCTAAAACGTTATTATTGTCTTGACAAATATTGATTGCTGTTTTTAGCACAGAATAGAATTTGGCATCCCTAATCTCCTTTATTTAGAATTTAATAACTTTTAAAATGTTGCGTGACTTGGAGAATTGGCAAGAGGAAAAGGAATGCTTAACTGCTAGAGACTGTGCAGTTACAGGCTGGCTTTGTCACAACTGCCTCACAGCAGCGTGTAACAGTGAGGGGATATATGGGCAAACGTGTAAAGCAGTCGATGTGGTAGGAAAGGGTATATTTATATCTGTGAAGACGGTATGTAAAGAACACAGAGGAAAGTGCAGGCAGAAATATAAGCCACTATAGATTGCAGTAATTGCTTAAATTAACAGCTATGATGGCTATCTCTGGCCTAATTATCTGCATTGGATCTTCAGTGCCTTCTCTTGACTGAATTAACAAGCTTGAAGTTGCAGCCATCAAGGCTGCTGCTATTGTAAGCAAGGCCTGTGCACTGACAAATGAAATGTCTCCTATTTATAACCCCTGACCAAGTGCCTACTTCCAGCACTTTCCTCCTTTACTACTTATAGCTAAGCTATAGATCTGGAAAAGCAAATTACATTGACTGGAAGGCTTGTCTGCTCTGCATTTAAGGTCTTTGCTTCTTGAAGATAAAATAATAGTTGCATGGTAGAAGTCAAGTCCGTAAAGTCTGGGAGAAAGCATCTTATGCTCAGATTATGTGGAACAAAAACTGTGCACTTTTTTGGTGTCCATTCAGAATGAGTTCACTGGCTGAGGCAGATTCCAACCAGACATCTGTTAATACTAAAGGCTACTTCAGAGAGATGATTAGAAATCTGAGTTTTACTTTTAGCAAAAATTCCTGTAAACATTGTTTTTCCATAAAACTTTTCAAAGAGGTTTTGGGTTGGTTTTCTTCTTAAGACAAACAGGGAATTTTCCCTTTAAAAAGAGCAAAACAGGAACACGTCAGTGCCTTCCCCACCCCAGCAAACATTCTTTGTCTGTGCCGTTTTATTCTTTTTCCCCCAAGTGTATGGAAAAATGTGTATGAGTGTATGACATCTGTGTTCAGTCTCTCCCTTTTCTCAGCTGGCTCTGTGAGATAGTGTACTAGTTTTTGTTCCTTCACAAGCCTTCCAAAGGACAAGTCTTATCTTGCAGGTATTGTTGTAGGACATGAGATCACGCTCCAGTATGGAGTTTATCAAACTTGGTGTTTACTCAGGATCACCTTTGAGAGCCTGGTGGCAATGGAGGTCCCTGTCCTGTGTGTCAGAGGCAGCATTCATGTATTGTGCTGAATTAGCTCACGCTTGCCAGTGACAGGGCATACAACAGTTTGGATACATTTACCCCATGTAAGGGATATTGAAGGATATTTAACTTGGCCAGGGTGGGGAATATTTTTTTTAACTCTTTGTGCAGGAAAAGTGTCTGATAAGGTGAGAATCAGGCTGCAATCAACAGGTTTTATTAAGTAAAGCTTTGCAGTCAGCTCATGTGTATCTTTGGTCCCATACCCCTCCTCCCCAACTCACCTGTCCAGAAATGTCCTCTTCCATATGTGTGTGTGTGTGTGTGCATCTACTCATATGGAGTTATAGTTCTCATCACTTGATCATACTGAAAAAACTGAAGAATTAATGACCAAGCCAAAAAGATTCAAAGGCAGCTTTGGAAGACAAGTTTGAAAACTGTGTCCATAGTCAGAGGGAGCAAAGCATGCCTAGGCAGATGTGTTAATGCACTTTCAAAGCCCAACTTCTTTGTGTATCTGATGCAGCCTCTCAGCATCTCTTGAGCAGTCCAGTTGGGGCTGTACATGGTTCAGGTACCTTGGAAACAAATTTAATAGAGCTTTCTGCAATGAAAGGTCCTGATGCTAAATCTTATTGCTCTTGTGACAGCAGTGTTTTCCAAGTCAGTCTTGTACTTTGTGACTGAGAGTGGAGGGAGAAACCCTGGTATCTTCATGGTTTATCAAAGCTGTTCATGGTTTATGATAGATGTTCATAGTTGGTTGTTGAAATTTGTTTTATCATTTTATGTTTGGCTTATATGTGCTGATTTAAACCCTTTCTTGTCCTTTCTCATATGCATAAAAAAGATGTGTTCAAAATGTAAAAGAATGTAGCTCTGTGGCTGCATTGGTAGACTGTTCCCCATGCCAATCTCAGTTTGTTTCAAATAGTGATTGATAACTGGAAATCTTACTGTCTAGTTCCAAAGATACTGCAGAAAACTAGGAAATGGGGACCTGGGTATCACAACCATACAGGATATTCTGAAGTTTCTTAGAATATGTGATATTCCATAGCTAAAAGCAATGCAAAGTAATTGTTGCGATATTTGACAGTATTTGTCAATTTTTCAGATGTGGAGCCTGAATTTAGGTATTTATGTTAGCATGTAATTATGTAATAAATTGTTCATGGGTTGGGTTTTTTTTTCAGGTTGAGCAAATATCAATAACTTTCTAGGAAAGCAGAATGTTTAGTTTTGTTGCCAAGGTATTTCATCAGTCAACATTTTGGCATCTGAGTTGACTTTATTCTTTTAAAACCACCCAGAAAATTGTTTTCTGTTGTTTCATTCTTTCTGATGAAAATACGTATATACATTTCTAACAATTTTTTTTAAAAATCCTTTTCATATTCTCTTTTGTAATCACATCTGCAAGAAGAAATGTGAGTTAGGAACATTAATCATTTGGGAGCCATGTGTCTAAGTCTTTGAAGACAAAGTGCTGCTTCTGCTGACTGTAGACTTTTTAGCCCAGGGTGGTTTCCTCTTTCCATATAAATCAAAAAAAAACCCATACTGCTGTTTTTCCCAAATCAGGTGGGGGCAGAGGGAACCCTCAAGGAATAAATATTGGTTTTCATGTGATGATGCTGCCCCAAAAAAACAAGGTTTAAGCAATATAAATTTAAAACAAAGCCAAATTTTTCCCCTGCCTGAAGCTGGGGCAAATCATCCTCACCCACATCACTTCAAAATTGATAGGATTCTGCTTTCTGAACGTCCCTTCAGATTAGGAGTGTTTCTTAGGCTGCTGCAGATTCTTTTCTAGGCTTCAAGTGCTGATGCATCAGCTCTCTATAAATGCATCCAGTAATGAGATTTATTAGCAGCATTTGTTCATGTATCAAATTTCTGTGAAGAATATCCAGTAGATGGGCAGAACTGGCTGCTGGATGAAGACTTGCCTATTGAAAGGCAGGAGAAAGGTTAGTTGTGGAATATTGGTGTCCAGTTTTAGGAATGATGATTTTCCAGTCACTCAGATGACACAGACCATAACTGAAAAGTTTAAGTAACTTCCCCACAGTTACTCATCAGAGACAGATGTTTCACCCTGCATGTGCAAAGCAAGTAGACAAACGTAGATGCCAGAGAAGAATTGCTGCATCTTGCTTGCCTTTCTACTCATCTCTGGGCGCTTGTCATCGTCATCTATGCAGTAGAGAAAAGTCTCTCTATCAGGTAAGAGCTTTCTTTTCCTCTTTGGGAGCAGTATATATGCTTGTTCTTTGTAGATCAGTTAAAGAGCTATGTTAGTATTATTACACATAAATGTTTTTATTTGGCACATAAACCAATAGTGCTATGGATCAAAAGGAAGCCTGTGTTGGTAAGCAGTATTGGCATGTGGCTGCCATAATACCTGACTATTACTGGATAGTATTGAATAAAGTTCCCTTATCCTTTCCGATGTTTTTGTTAGAAAATCTGATACTGTTGTCCTGTGTTAGAAATAAGGCACTGAAACACTGGTGAGCTTTATCTGTTCCTGAGAAGCTGCATCTTCTGATCCCTGCTGCTGCCTGTGTGTGGGCCCACACCTCACCCAGATACATCGTGGGCTGGCTGGTGCTTTGGCAGGGCTGCCCTGTGCCTGGGAGACAGTGGCTCACTGGATTCCCGTTTCTGCCAGTGAGAATGCTGCTGCCAGCTGTCAGGTGCTGCAAACAGGAACAGTTTTGAGAAATAAGGCCTTGACCTGGTGGGGTCTGCCTGCTGAGATGTTTTGATACTGATCCGTGTTGAGATAACAGCAAGGTTGGGCTTTTCATTACATTCCTAAGCCAAGAGTATGGTGCCTACAAATATAGCAGGGGTGTTGGTATAGGTGAATTGCTTACGGCTATGCAAGAACATTGTGGAGGAGCCAGGAATTCAACTGAGACCTCCTGAGCCCTGCACAGGCTCCTCCTACGTCTCTTCACTAACCTGCTTCCCATATGACTTTCTACCTTGGCATGACTAACGTTCCCCACTAATGTGTACTAACTTCTAGCATTTTAATATAATAAAATAATAATTTATGTCTTAATACAGAACCTAATTTTTGTACTTGCCTGTCATGTTTCAGGCAGCTTAAGGGGTCAAAGAACAGGTGTTGGTATCAGGGGAGCTCTGTATTTGCAGCACTGGTCATGAGTTATGAGCCCCTCAAACTTGCTGGTTTTGCCCATATCAGTGAACAAGATGTTGTTATCTGGGACTCCAGAATGAATCCTTGCCCCTGAAGTGGGAAATAAGGTAACATACAACAACTTTCTAAAAGTTGGAACTAACTCCTTTGACACATTTGGAAAAGAGTTGGAACAGGAACAGCTGTCTGTGCTGGCAGCATTAGGGGATTACAGTGCAGCAGTTGTGCCTGCTTTTCTCCCCCAGGGTCTGATTCTTGCTTCTGAGGTTTTGTGTGATTGGAGAAGAGAAATGTCACAATTACCTTCTTTGTTTGTCCACTATATTAAACACTTTAAAAAAGAAGGAGAAAAAGATCAGAGAAAGTGATCTGATCCTTTTGGACATCTGTAACTGTTGGGAATAGTTGAGTTTCAGAGTCCTGTCTAGTGAATGCTTCAGATAGCCTTGTGGTGATGCAGCTGGTAGGAAGAATTGGAGAGACACAGAAAGCATTGTATTAGAACTTGTACACTTGTGTTCCCAGACCAACATCCCTCTTGCCCAAACTCTATTATATTTAACAGGGTAAAAAAAGGTTATTTTACTTCATTTTGAAAAATAAAGTAAGCATCTTCCTCTGCCCTAGCAAGGACTAGTCATCCAGAATGAGATCATGCCAAAAAAACTTCATTTTTTGCTATACATTCAGGCCTGTGTATAACTAAAAACTAAGAGAACCTGTGCCCTTGCCATGCAGTAATGCTCTCTAAAGGAGTATTCCCTTCCCCTACACTCCAAACAAATACCATTGGGCCATAAATACATGCCTGTGCAAGCTGAGGGCTGTAACATCACATCTGCTTTAGAGAGCGATGCTCCCAGGGCTTTCCATACCCACAGGACCACTGCACGCTTTTTTGGGACTCTGGGCAAGTAACAGATTTAAACTCTGACTGCCCATTGCTGCAAAGGCCATTGTACTGTTCTCCCCATCCCTGACCACCCACTCTGTGCTTTGGGTTTTGTAGGGGAGACCTGCTCTCACGACCTCTGAGCACTCTCCCCATCTCCAGCAGGGCTGGGGGTAGGCGCCCTTCACAGGGCAATAACTGCTTTAAAATTAACACGTCTCTTTGCACTTGCTGCAATTATTTAGAAACCCCCTTGTCTAATGACCCACGTTAAGCCAAAGAACATATTACTAGGGGTGTGCTAACAGCACCAGTGCACTAAACCACAACTGACAGCCTGACCCAGTGCTGTGCTTTAAAAGGGCAGGGCCACAGCATTCGAGTTGGAATTCTGCTTTAATTAGGCCATTACCTGACCTTCAAAGCTGTATTTTCTTCCTCCTCTGCATGCTATGCTGGAGGAAAGGCTGCTGGAGAAGACAGGAAGAGCCCTATCTGATCGTTATCAGGAACGGATGAAAGCCATGCGTTGCCTTTTCCTTTTGACGTGTGCAATTAGTTTGGCTTGTGTGGAAGAAGCATGTCAAGGTAAATGGCCATCTCTGTCTTTCCCTTTGCTGATCCCTGGCAAGGTCCGTCATGCAAAAAGCTATTCAATCACCTGTTGACAGTGGTATCCCTCTCATAAAACCTGATTATACACCATCATGAGGTACCTTTGCCCAGTGGTGACCTGACAGTGCCATGGGCTGTTTTACAGGCTGAGTGCACTCTATCTCCTCCTCATAAAACTTTGTTTGAACCTGTTTGTTTCTACATCTCTTTGCCCCCCTCCCCCTCCCCTTCAAAATAAGTTTTTCCCTTTTTATGGGGATAGAAGGATCTTTATATCCTGGGCATGTGACATCTGTGGTGGTCACCAGGAAGGAGCATGCTGCCATTGCACCCTCTTCCAAGCAATCCCATCCCTGCCAACCCAGCAGTCCCACAGCTCTGCTAGCTCCTTTGGCCTCCTTGTTGTAGTTACCATGTGTCTCCTGTGTTTGCCCTGACTTCTCTGTCTTCTCAGGCAGGGATCTGTGCTAATGCACTTACCTTCGGGAAACCTGGGACTTCCTGCCTGGAACTGCTTCTGGCTACCACCAGCTCTCAGACCCTTTCAGACCCTCACACAGACCCTCTGTGGCTGCATGTTGCAGATGACTCTCATGGAAGGCAAAAGACCCTCAAAAGGTGGAGTTTTTTAAAATAAATAGACATAATTTATTTTTTAAAAAAGTTTGATTCACTAGATTTTATTAATGCTGTGCTTATGAGAAACAAAGCCCAAAGCAAAGAAATCCAATGCAAGTGCTGAGAGTTCACTTTTAATTCATGTTTTAGGCCAGTTGCAACCATGATGCTGATGGGTTATGCCAAGGAAAGGCATTAAGCTCACTTCATATCTCAGAAGCGTGTGCGTGCGCCCTCCCACCACTGCTGATGTGGTGGCCCCTTGCTGTGCCCAGCATGAGCCATGGTCACAAGTCTCCGGTCATACCCTCCATCTCCCTGCAGATTTCCTGTGTGGCTGCAGGAAAGTCATTTTGAACTCGTGCTGTCCCCTTTGCTTTGACCAGAAGTGCTGCTAATCCTTTTCCTTCTTGTGAAGTTGACTGTGCATGAACACAGTGTGGCAGGCCAGTGGCTGCCAGAGCAACATCTGTCCCAGGACCGGGGGGATGGTTGTATGTGTCCCCATTTGGGTGCTGTACCTTGGCAGAGGGTGATGGTGGTGCTCCCCAGTGTCACTTAGGACACAGCGGACAATGTTTGAGGGAAAGGTTTGCAAAAAGCTTCTTTGTTTAGTCACAGACACTTTGTTTTTTTCTCTAAGTGATATTTGAAGGTGTCATGCACCACCACAGAAGGGTGATGGAGTAGCAGTTGAGTCCATCAGGGGACAGAAATTAGATAATGTGTTACAAAAGGAGGGATATTCCAAGATGAAAGAATGGAAACAGTGCTTGATTTTTACAGTGCTATTATACAGCTAAAAAAAGTACTCAGCTCTGGTTTATAAAGGAGGCAATTGAGGCATGGCAAGATTCAGTGGCTTCCCCAAAGTCAGACCAGAAGTTTTTTTTGTTGGCACTGACATATGGAATGATTTGGCCAACAAATGACTGAAGTCCTGTGCTGCCAGAGGGCCCTGTAATATGGTGTTTGAGTCAGAGAAGGCTCTGGCCTCACCTGCTCAAACCCCACTCTGCAAAGAGGGACTCACAGCTAGCCACCCAAGGCCAGGGCAGCGGCAGGACCTCTGCCCATGCCGAGCTGCTGTGGGATCTCGGTGGGCATGGGGAGAGGAGCCTGCGGACAGCAGGTGCTGCCAGCACTGGGGCGGCATGGGGGCTGCTCCCTGTCCCCTTGCCCTCGTTAGGAGGTGGCAGTTGCACAGTTGCAGTGACGTGGCTGGTAATCAGAAAGATCATTTGTGCTTTTTATCACTCTGTCACCAAAAGACCTAGTCTTTAATCGGATGGTTTTCCAAGATGGATCTGGGGACAGATAAACCATTAGCTGCAGAGTTATCTTGGTCAGGCTCTGAAGTGAACCTTCCACATCCCTGGAAACAGTATGTGGCACGTGTAGATGTGGCACTTTAGGATATGGTTAGTGGTGGGTTTCGCAGTGTTAGGCTACAGGTTGGATGACCTTAGAGGTCTTTTCCAGCCTTAATGATTTTGAGACTGTACCAGACCACTGTTGGGAGGCAGCCACGGGGCTGGGGGGCTCGGCAAGGACGCTGTCCTTGTTCCTGCCCGTGCCCTGCCCTGCTACCCTCTACCCTTCGCTCCTGAGGGCAGACCGAAGCGTTAAGGAAACGAACAGCTCAGTGTTAGTCGTTTCATTTCCTCTGGCGGCTTTACTCCTGCCCAGAGCGCAGATCGCGGCGGGGCGGGCGGGGCCGTGAGGGCCCGGGTGGCACCGCCTGCGGAGCGGCCGAGCCGCCACGAGATGGCGCAGGAGGAGCGGCCAGGCCGCCCCTGCAGCCCCGCTGCCGCCCTCAGCCCCGGCGGGAGCTCCCGCCGCCAGGACGGACCTCATTTCCCTGCCCAGGCCTGGCCCTCATTTTCAGTAAGGTGGCTTTTTTGGTGGCTAATTTTAGTGCTAAATTGAGCCTAATTATTATAGTTTAATGAAGGGGCTGCTTTAAGTTAAATAATGACCCTGGCATTGTATTTATATGAATGAAAAATTAACCTTAAAAGGTTGTCCTTCTCAGAAAATGGATTGCACGCTCGGCTCTCTCTATTGATTAGTTTAGGTATTTAAAGTGCTGCATTTTATCTCTCCAGCCTCCTGGTGAATTTGTTACGATGATACTTAAAGGAGAAAATTGGCGTTATTTATTTTTGCAAACCTTTTTGGCATATTTCTGGGCTTCTTATTGCACCTTTGAGCTATATAGTATGGTATGAAGGAACAGTGATAACCCTTCTGCCTAAATAAGCGTGACAGTCTAACATCTCTGTTCAGCTGAAATGCCACTGAAAGGGATGCTGCAGTGCGAAATGTGTATTTACAGTGCAGCTGATGGAGTGGGGTGAGCAATCCTGCGGAGGTTTTCAAGAGGACTAGAGTCTTCCCATATTAAATGACTGATGGGAGGGTTTGTCAGAATTTCTGTTCACTCCAAAAATTGGAGTGCATTTCTCCTTGGAGCTGCCAGACAATAGGAGCCATCCTAATAATTGCAAAGTACTTCAAGACTGGGTAGTGTTAGAGTTTTGAATGTGACATGTGCAACTAAGCAAAAAGAGACAGGACACATAGGTGCATTTCTGTATTATAGGGGGAAATAATAGGATGATGTAAAGTTTAAAAGTTAAATATGGACTCTGGTTTTCCTACAGAAGTTTTTAAACATTTTTAGGTTTATTCCAAAAGGTATGGGGGAATTGGGAGAAATGTTATGCTGTGATGCTCAAAGGCACTCTCCTCTATGCTGGGAGGTGTTGCAGCTCAGTGTCTGTCACTGGATGACCCTCCCCGGTGCCTCCCATAGTGGGACAGAGAGCATGGGTGTGGGTGCTCCATGCTGGGGAGCAGGAGGTTTGCAGGCACCTGTGGTGAGCCACAGCAGCATCTCCAGTCCCAATGCTGGACCAGGGTTGAGCCACCTCCATGGGGCTGCACTGCCCAGCACGTGTGAGGGGCAGCCAGCCCCTCCCAGGCAGCTGTTCCCATGGATGTCTGTCTCTGGCCTGCTCCTTCAGTTACCCTCTCTGGTTTCTCACGTTTACAGATCTGCTTTTGGTCTCTGAGTGAGCGATTGCCACCCCTTTCCTAACCCCATATCCTGGCTGGCGGTAAGAACGCCTCTTAAATTCCCCAAACAAAATGGAAAGTCTTGGGTTTAGTTGAAAAGAACAGCGAATTCTGCTTGCAATCTGTAATGCAATTAGCGTTATTTGACTTGGCAGCCGTCGGAGGGCCTGCGTGGGCTGCAGGCTGTGAGGGCCCAGAGTTGGCCTCCATCTAGGAAGAGGACTTTGGAGGAACTCTCAGTAATTTTTACATCTGAAGTCTCTCAGTGGTTTCTCTCCCCCATCTCCTCTTCCCTCCACCCTCAGCATTCAGATGCTGCAGCCGGTCCTTCTTCCCAGCTGGGAAGGGGCGAAGTTGCCTGGTGCTCCAGGCCCCACCCTCCTCTGCGCCCTACCAGCCCCCCGGGTGTCTGCGTCCCCCGCCCGGCCAAAGGAAAGTAATTCTGGGTCAGAACTCACTGAGCCATCTGTGTTTCTGAGGCTAAATTATTTCTTACAAAGGAAATAGTATTAGGTCGGTGTATCTGGCTGCTAATTGCTTTAACTGACTGAAAAGATTTCAGTCTGTTCCTGAACTGTTTGTGCAAACTTACCAGAATAGTGTTACCTTCAGATCCTGCCCCAGCCGCAGCCAGAACATATAAACAAGTCTTTTGGTACGAAAAGCAGCACAAAGTTTCAAGCTATGCTAGCAGAGGTTATGAGAGACAGGAAGTTATGGGCAAATTGATTTCACCACTGGGAAACTAGGGATTCCCCCCCCTCAAGTAATGACTGTAAAGCATTCTAATGCTATTCAACATTAGTGCATTAAAGTGTGGTCTTATTAATTCAAGACATAAAGGCAACAAAATAAGCTGTTAAATTTAAAATATAATACATATATAATGAGAAAAAATGTGTGAAAGCTTTATTCAAATGAAAATGCGGAATTGTTTGAGCTAGTGAAGTATCTTTTGTGCTGAGTTATGAGCATATGTAATAGATTTAATTATTAATTTCTCCATTGTTCTATGCACACAGACAGGGTTCAAGGCACAGTCATTCTCTGGCTTTCATGGATCTAATTTGTATAATTATTGTCTGAATAAAGAACTGCTCTGATTCCTAGCTCACTTTTTTCCTCTCCTAAGGACATCTTACTGCTGGTTTCCAAAAGAAGAGCACCTGCCAATTCTTCAGGAATCAGCTGATCACTTCCAGTGATGACAACACGCTCCCAGTGATGTTCCTTTTCAAGCCTTTTTGTCTAAATGAATTACTTTGCATACTTTTTAATTTTATTGAACAAATTACATTTGTCAAGGTCTAGCTTTGTAAATAAATAGCTAGAGACACATGGATGCACATTGCTGCTGTTCAAGGTCTCCTGTTCTATTTATGGAAACCAGATGAATGTGAAACAAAAGAGGAACTTTTCTCTAAAAGCAATTATCTTTCTGCATTCCCATCAGTATAATTATATTGCAGGGAATTTTAAGAAGTCATACAAGTAGAATTAAATACTTAAAATCATGGGTAGATAGTTATGCAAAAGCTGAGTGGAGCATCTTGCCTCATGCCAACAAAACATACCGTGGCTGGCTGTTCTCTTCATGCCTTTACACCTGACATATATGTGCATATTTGTCATAAAATAAGATAATAAAATAAGCTGATATCCATGGTATACTTATGAAAAGTATTTCTGGCAATAAGTACTGAATTGCTTTCGATTTTGAAGTGTTAATATTACTGGGTTGAATTATTTTGTCACTTAGGCATTTAAAATGTCATGGCCCTGCTATGTGAGCATCTTTAATCATGAATGTTTTCTTTGACTTTGGAGACACATTGTGTTATTAAAACAGGGCATCTTCTTTGTTTGTGGAAAGGTCTTCCAGAGAGTAAAAGGAACAATGCCCATGAACACATGGCAAGGTTCAGATGTGTTGGTAGGAGTATCTGGTAAAAATCATTATGACCTTGCTTAGAGAGAAACTTTTTAGGAAGCTACAGTACTGGCACATGGTTAGTAAAAGGTCACATCATTCTGAGTGGAGGAGTAGAGAAAGTTTGCCAGGAGAGTACTTTTTTTCTTTTTTTTCATTATCTCATCAAATTTTGAGAAATTTTCTTGAAAATGTAGTTGCCTTTTCCCCTTAATTTATTGGGAAAATGTTGTCAGACCACCAAAATAAAAATTAATGGGGATGTTCCATAGGTTCTTTTACACTCCTGTCAGAGCAGAAAGCTCAGCAAGAGCAGCAGCAGGGGTACTTCTTGAGGAGAAGCAAGACCAGGTCCAGCTGAAAGCCTTATTCCAAAGCAAAGGAAAGGGGTCCTGCAGCAGGGATCTGCTACACCACGGTTGATCTGCCGCCTACTGCCTTCCTTTGCAGGGAGGTGCTGTGGAAAGGTGAGAACATGATAGTGCAATTAAATACCATTAAACAGTCCTTTTATGAGGAAGTGAAATAAAAGTGGCATGGGATAAATATATATTTCCATATTTGAATGTGTAACCTGTATGTTTAAGTGTATATTTGTGTTTAATACTAGAAGTAGTGAGATGGTGGGGCATTGGTAGGGCACTGGCTACCATCGTGGGGGATTGGTTACCTGCTGTATCCAAGGTTGCTTTTTTTTCCTTTGCTCTACCACCCCTTTTTCCCCTCTTCCAGCCTTTTTTATGTCAAGCAGAACCATGGAAGTTAAACGTTTAAAACCCAACTACGAAGAAATGATGTATTTAGCCTGACCTTGGCAAACAGCTTTAGCAAGTCAGGAAATGTTGGTAACTGCCTGTGCCGTGGCAAACAGCTTCACAAAGCTGCATGCTGAGAGGTGCCCATCCCACAAGGACCAGCTCCATGCTGCACACACACAGCAGCTCCAGCCCAGTGTTTTCTTTTCTGTGAAAGCCATTTTGACTGCCATGTGTTTGCATTTATTTCCTTTCCGGCTCTCTACATGACTCATCTGCAGCAGGACGGAGGAGCCAGAGCAGAGCTGGGCTGCCCAGGAGCTGCTTTCCACACTCACCAGCCCTGTTTTGGGCAGCTTTCTGGAAGGCAGTCCCATGGTGAGGAGCAGTTCACTAGGCAGAAGAATTAGCTTGCTGTGCTTGTGGCAGCTGGGCTCAGCGTTGCTTTGCAGGACAGGTACATGAGTGCTGTCCACTTCCCATGCCTTAACACAAGAGACCAAGGTGCTTTTCTCTCTGTAAAGTGATGGAAGCAGCTTTTATCCACTCTGCCTTTGAACTTTGCTGTTCCCTATAGATTACCCACTAAACCATACTGCCACAGGTCTGACACTCCTAGGTTTTAGTTCAATCCAAACCTAATCTTTTCTTCTTTTTCCAGAAGTCCTGCTGGCGCCAGAGTTTTCTTGTGTTCAGCCACGGGCAAGGTTACAGTAAATGGTTTCCTCTCACTTCCTTCTGGGATCGTGTGCCAGGGCAGAAGGTATGTTTCCATCTGAGGACTCCTCTTGGGAAAGACTCTTACTTCATGGAGGGGTTATGTTGAACCATGATGGTATTTTAACAGACTTTTGTTTTTTAGTAAATTCTCCTCCCCTGTCCAATAATCTGCAAATCTGTTACCAATCAGAATACGATACGTATCCTCAGCCAGTTTCAATGGGGTTTATTTCTATTACATCTGGCAGTGTGTCCAGCAGAGGAGAAAAAAAACCTCAACCAGAATTAGCTACACTGAATTCAGCTGAATTTTGGATGTGTTCAACCTTTTTGGCCAGACTTATTCCGGTTCATGAGAAGTAATTATCTCTTGAGCATCACATTAATATTAAAGATCCATAGGCATTAGCGTTTAGGCAATATACCTTCTTCCCAGTTCCAAAAAAAATTATGTGGGATAATTGATCTGAACATGCTCCAAATGTACATATGTCTTTATTTATGAATTCCAATGTGGATTGTTTGGGAGGATAAGATGAAATAAGGAAAAGCAGGCAAAGATATTGAGACCTCTTCATCTCCCTGGCCATTTCGGCTAGGAATAGTTATAATCTCCTGAAAATGAGTTGTGAAAGCTAACAGCATGTTAATAGCATATATTACAAACACTAAATCCTTCAACTGGTATTTCTGATCTGCGCTTTTCTCTTGTTTCTTAGATCAGGGAATTCATGGTAGATGCAGTTTGTGTCTGTCTGCAGCCAGGCCAGTCACTGAGGAGCCAGGTTTGGGCACTAATGGTACTTCTTCCTAAGGATGGCATGAAATTCCACCACAGCTTCTGCCTGCTGAAGGAAAAATTGCCCTTGAACATCCAAAATACTGTCTCCTGTGAGACATCCATCAGCTGACTTGCCTCCAGCCCCAGACAGGGAGATAATGATGGCTCTGCTGTGTCCCAGGACACGGTGGCTGTACACAAAGGAAACCACAGCCTTGGGTGTTCAGCTGTTGCTCACAGACCAAGTGTGGCTGGGCCCTGCGAGGAGGGCAGTGCTGCAGGCTGAGGGCTGGGCTCAAGCCACTGGGTACCCCAACCCTGACACACTCCCCTACCTGCCCTCGTGTCTGTGACGCTTGTGTCTGTGCCCAGGTGTGCTTCTGGGTGCATAGGCGGTGTTGCATTGCTCATCCTTCCACTGGCAGAAAATTCGATTACTCCACTCCAGCCAGCAATGTCATTACATTAAATACAAGAGGAACCTCTACTTTACTGCATTCTTTATTGTGTTCAGCTTCACCCAGTAGGGGAAAACAAGTCTATAAAAGTGCCACTAGCTTGTTTCAACTTCTGCTCATGCACCCTCCTCATTTTCACGCCCTGGAGAGGGGTGTCAGACACAGCCTGACTGCCCAAGCCGTCATGGACTGGCCCAATTTCCTGCGGAGTGCAGTGAAGGCCATAGATATCAACTTCAAAGGTAAACAATTACCTTTTATTATCACACATGGCTTTAGCTCTACCAGTTTCAAATAGCACATAATCACAAGTCTGTGATAACATTTACTCCTGATGAGAGAAAATTCACCAAGTACTAAATTGCTGCTGAGATGACGGGAACATGAGCCAGGCACGAATTAACTCTGATGATGAGTCAGCAGACGTTAATGTCTTGCACCATGCTGGAGACATCTGCTGAGCCGTCCACTGTTGAATCATCTTAAATATTTCTGTGTTATTACCCCTCTAGGAACAAGCATTGGAGAACTTTTGTGTCTCTGTGCTATACATGCATAAACTATTTTAAAATAAATATATGCAGACACATAACAAGTGTATGCACTAAGGTATGTAGGTAATTTTCAGCTACGGGAAGGATGAGCAACTAGAAACTATTTAAAGTAAAACATGCATGGAAATGCTGATAGCAATTGCCCACATTTGGTGTTTGGAAAGTGATAGCTTTGCTTAATTGTGGCTCTAATGAGCCTGGCAGGGTGACCTCATGTCTGCACCATATACCCTGAACCTTCATGCAGACCAGCTCTCAAAGTAGGAATTACAAGTTTACCAAGGGCTCACCCCATGTTTTGGAAATTAGTCCCTTCAGAACAGCTGCTGGGTGCTGTGCTGAAGTGTATCATCACTTTGGCTTTTCCCAGTTTTTTTCCCATATACCCAGAATGTCAATATGTGGTTAGGTAAATGTAGTAAATAAGCACAGTCAAGAGCATCAGATGAATTCAGTGGAGAGTTGCAAACGCCTTCTTAAATGAGATCCTTTTTCACTGAAGGCTCTGCAACTGTGCCATCGTGCACTGTCCTCCTTCTGCAGTGGATCTTCAGCAGATGCTAAAGGCAGTGGTGTATAACTGGGGTGCCGAAGGACTGTACTGTGCACAATGTAGTCACTGCACAAAGGAAGAGGCAGAGCTTTTATTTGGTAAATCCTTTGTTGCATTTAGCTTAACTCACTGCAGCAAAACAACTCAGATTGTTTTAAAGTATATTGTCTGTTCTGGCCTTAATTTAAACTTTTGCATACATAATTACCCAATTGTATGCACATGAGAACTGCAGTAATTCAGTGCACATTGTGCAAAGCTGCATTTTTTTGAAACTCCGACTCTCTGAGGTCCAGAAGTCAAAAGTTAATTCTACTGAGATGTGACAGTTGTCCGTGTTTGCCAAAAAAAATTGTTATTTTAAGCATTCTGCAGTCTGAGTGTCACCATTCCAACTTACGTTTTTAAGGCTTCCCCATTCCCTGAATTTTCATATGCAACTGAAAAGAACCACCACCCAACCCACCAGAAGTTTTGGAAAGCAGGATGAGAGCAGGCTTGACTATTGCAGAGGGGATGTGGGAAGCACAAGCTGACAGTGGAGCTGGTGGGGCAATGGGACCGGACAGCCTCATAGTGCTCATCCTCCCTCTCCTCTTCTCCTCCTCCCTACCGCTGATCCCAGGCTTAGCCTCTGCTCACAGCAAGCCCAAGGCTGACTGCCGTCTGATGGAGGTGCTCGGAGTCCTTGTCCTCCTCTTCCTGGGGTCTGGGGTGGGTGCAGGTGCCTGCTGGTCCCCACTCATGGGCCTGAGGGCCTCAGGGCTTCTGAACTGATTCAATGCTAGATGCTTAAAATAGCTCAAAGGAAATGACACGAACATCCCCTTCACACTGGACTTTGCACTCAAACACTACTTTTTCCAAAAGTTAGCTCTAACAACTCATCTTGAGGTACCCTAAAACAACAACGTAGTATTTAATGAACATTAAGGGGGAATTAAATTAATCTAAACAGTAGCTTGGTTTCAGACTTCTCAGTAGTGGCTGCACAGAAGTAAGACAGTGTTTTCAGACCAAATAAGAAATCCATCCTTTGAGGATTGGTTTACAGTCTTCCAGAATTTTCCATGAGGTTAATAATCAAGTGAAATGTCCTGGAAGGAATGATCACATTCCCACTACTGCCCAGTCATTAGAGTGGTATGTCAGGAGGTTTCAAGTAAGTCACAGTATTTTTCTTCTACTGTGGAAGACGATGCATCTCCATATTTATTTGAAAAACTTTCTCCCATTTTCCTTTGCATGCTGAACTTCTTGGGCATGATGCATTAACTCTTCTTGAAGTACAAAATGGAGAATAGGAGTGCCAGAACATTTTTGTCAATGGTTTCCAAAAACTATGGAATTTCCTGCCCAGCTACATCAGATCAGCCAACAACTTTGTAATTGCTAAAAACAGCCTGTTGATTTTCCTCCCAAGTGTTTCAGCTGGCCTGGCTGAGCCTTCTCTTTTCCACTGTCTTGAGATGTTTCTCTCATTGTGCACTGTGCTGTATTTTTATGGTCGACATATCCTCTAGCAAACAATTTCAGGCTGATGGCGGAAGGGAGATTGGATTCAGGTTAGAGATTTGAGCCTGGGATGGGGAGCCAGGAATGCTTCAGTTCCTGAATCAGATCTGCCACTAAATCAGGAATCCACATAAAGCAAAGCCACATGATGAGCAATTGTATGATGATTTGATTTTCTGTGCAGAGGAGGAAGTGAGAGTTTGAATGCGGTTCTCTCCTTGGCATGCCCCCTGCAACTGAAGCCACGGCTACAGGTGGGCCATGAGGGGGAGCTTGGAGCAGGTTCCTTCCAAGAGGAGGCTGAGACTGGTGAGGTTGCTGTCTAATTGTGGACTACAAGTTTTTGCCACATATCTCAGTGGAAAGATATCTCAGTGGTAAATGCAAATAAATTAGTTAAGTATGCCTGTATGAAATTTTCCCGCTGAAAAATTCATTCTATAAAAGCATTTACACTGTATTCTTTATTGTCAGCTAATCCAGCCCAAACTCATTAAATGGCAGTGTGTGGGTTACTCGCTGTCAGTGAAATTATCAAAGGCATTTTTCAGCTGGTGCACTGGGAAAGCATGTGCTTCAATGCCAACTAAAACAATAACGAGGAAATGTTATGATCAGACTTGACCAAATGACCTTTCCCATTTTAGATTAGTTCTTAATTTCAGCACAAGGGTCATCCTATGAGAATAGTTACAATAAGTCACTGCTCACCTCTCACATGAAAAAGAAGTGACTTATTAGAAATCTCACTGTACTCATTGCAGTTAATGAGATGTGGAAAGCTTTATAATTTGATTTGCTGGACCATATGCTGTAAAGGGATACTGCTGATTTCATTCCTCCACATTTAATTTAAGCAGTATGCAATGGCTTCTTCGTATGGCTACTTATATAATAAAAATTAACTTGGAGGATAAAAAAAATACACCATTGTGAGGTTTATTACTCTGTGTGGTTGAGTTTCAAGTGTTTTTCATTGAAACATCTGTAAGTAATGTGTAGGTCTAATTTTAAATCCTGGCAAATATTTTCCATTTAACATTTGGTTTTACTGACAGGCTTGGAGCAGTGGTTTTCAGAGCTTGTCAGTAAGAGATACGCATTTTCAAAGATAAACGTTTTTTTAATTGAAGATAACTGTAACTCAATACCTGCTTTTCCTACCCCTCTTGTATTTTAGCGGTTGCAAGCAGCAACACAGACACTCGTCCCCTCTCCCTCAGACCCCAGCCGTGGCAGCAGCACTGTGGTGGTGTGGGCTGTCCCTTGCGGGAACATGTGGAGCCATGTAGGGCCGCACTGCACTCGGAGAGTGAGCATGGCCCTGGGCTCACAAATCCAAGGGAACAAGGCGACAGTCGTGAATTCACAGAGACTGTCTCCTTCAGAGATGTTCCCCAGCTATTTTGCAGGAGCCGTTACCTCTGGAGGGTGGATTTGGGCCTCAGCCCTGGGCGGGGCTTGACCTCCCGCTGCGGCTCAGCAGCACACACCCCGCTCTCAGGGCCAAGCGCACTCGCTTGCACCGCAGCAGCTCACCATCACAGCTTTATTTCAGGTTATTTGATTTTCGACTGCAGACAAAATGAAACAGCTCGAACAGGCAGGCTGGCTGCACGGCCCATAAAAGTGGAAACCGCACTGGCTTGTCAGCGTGCGTCGCCAGGCCCGGCTGCGGCTTGCGCGCTCTTGATGCTTCATGTGAGAGCCAGAGCCGCGGCTGGGCTAAAGGCAGTGGTGGAAATACCCAGCATGAGGCAATGGAAGGGTCAGTTTGGAAGTCAAATATTAAGATCATATTCAAAAAGAATTCCTGAAAGGCTGGAAATATGGGAGAGTCACTGGTTTCACCTGAAAGAAATGCCAGAGCATTATTTGCAATTAATGCTGTGGTGTCCACAAGCTCTAAATACAAAGACTGTGTGTTTTAATCTAACATGTTGGTAAAATCTGAGATCAGGCCAAGAAATTTTGTGAAGTTGCTGCCCATGTGGGACTGTGCTGAGGGAGGCTGTGGCCCTGTGGTGCAGCAGGGCTGCAGCAGCTACTAAAACACCATTTTGTGAGGTGCTCGGTAGAGGGACAGTGCTGATTTGTGTCCAGCTGACTCTGTCACTTCCTCCCTCTACTCTTTACTGTTTCCTCACCATGAATTTTTCAAACAAGTTTAATCCTGCTTTCAGTGAGAAATAATAATAGTACATTATTTCCCTCAGACTTACACTGTCGTCTTATTGAACCCTGAACTACAGTAGCAGCAAATGGGATTTTGGCGCAGGGGGTTAACCATGGAGAGGGCCCATGGGTGTGGGGTGCCAGAAGGGAATCTGGTGAGGAGCACTGCAGCAGCCAGGAGGAGCACAGGGCCTTCTGTGCTGAGCCTCCAAGAAAGAGTGTCAGCATTACCTAATTTAATGGCTTTTCATTTAGAGAGACAAACATGTCTTTGCTACCAAAGACAATCCATTTAATTTCATTTAGAAACTGCCTTTAATGCTTTGCGATGGTCTGTGGTGTGGGTTCAGCAGCTGAACTAAAGCTGAGGGCTTGAGCCAGCCTTCTGTGCTTCTTGGGTTTGAGTCTCTTTGGTGGCAACCCTCCCAGGGATCGAATCCAGGCCCTTCGAATGTTGACCTCTGGATTAAAAAAATAATCACAAAAACAGATTTCATTTTTAACACGTCCCTGTTTTCTTTCATCAGAAGTTTTGAAATGCTTCTGAGGAGGCTGGTGATAGCCATAATCTCAGCCACAGTGATTTCCCATAAACATAGAGCGAAACTGTGGCTTTACTGAATATAGCATCTGTTTTAAATGGCTGGTGGTTCACTTGTTTTTAATATGAGTACAAGCACAGAGGCAAGTAAAATCTAATGAAAGTACTTAGAAGATTTTGTTTGGATACCCCACAGCAGCCGTGGTTTATGCAGAAGGGGGAAAAGATTTTTTTATAGCCAGGCCTGCAGAAGCCAGAAATTCAGTTTTACTCTACAACTTATTTTATTGCATTTTTAATTTTCTCTTGCATTACCCTGACCCTTTTCTATAGCTTTTGACGCCTGGTGCTTAATTACTTATCATTAGCAATGTACAGGGGGGCCTTCCTGCATATTTATAAATGTGATCATTAGTACATGGGAAGACAAAGACTTCTTTAAGACCATCATTAGTTATTCTGTTTTCATAGAAATGTTCATTAGAGAAACTACCCACCTGGTTAAATAATTATAATTAAGAATTGGTAATCTCCTTTGCATTTTTAACTTGATCTTCAGAATGCGTGTGCATAGCTAAAGGAACCTTGTTTGGTCATCTTACTATCTTGTCTTTTTGATTTGAATTGTCAAGAAGATTTAAATGCTGTGTTTTGGAACTATATATTCTAAGAATGATTTATGGGAAGATAGATTATTAGAAAGAAAGAGAGAAAGAAAGAAAGAAATCAACCCTGCAATTATCTCTGAATTCATTAACTGTGCACTGGCAGAGAGAGGTTGTATAAGCCATTTACTGTAATGTGTGGTATGAAGTTAAAACAAAATGTCAGCAGAGCTTGATTTCCCTGCCCTATCTGTGGTGTTCACTGCAGACACCCAGACTGCGGGGTAACATTGCAGAAAGGTATCATTTCCATGTCACAGTATGGTATTCCTTGGAAATGCCGACAATCAGTGTGGTGGTGTCGGTAGTCGTGCTCCCAGCCATTGTGGGGAGCTGGTGGGAAACCTGTCTGAACTGTGTGTGCCTGCCCGTCTGCTGCAACTATGGGGAAGGGAGAGCGTTACCCCGCGTGGGGCACAGGGACGGCTCACCTCTGATAAACCATGGCAATGGGAAGAGCTTGTCAGTGGCATAAATATCATCTGTAAACAATTAAGCAGCTACTGCTCATTCAGGGCAGTTTTGAAAAGCAAAGGAAGTCTGCAATCAGTTATATCTCCAATTACCATAAAAATATATTAGCCATTCATTCATTTATTAATGATTCATCAGTTAACCACACATAATGAGCAAATAATTAGCAATGCTGTACGGTTGCCAAAATTGAAGAAGTGTTGGCATTTTAAAGATGAAAGGTTGCATTTATGTAAAAAGTTGGGTGGTGATAAAGTTAATACAGAAGATAATTATAAAAGTGGCTGTCTTATTTTAGAGGCTGAGGTCCCGCAAAACTTGTCTAATTGAACCAAAATTAATATTCTTCAAAAACACGGATGTTACTGGTTACTTGCTGCTGCATTTACTGGGAGATCTCCCTTCAGTAAGGTATGTCACACAATACAAGTTAATAAAATGCCAGACAGCAAGACTGTGTTCTTTGTTTGCTCGTTTCAGGGCCTTGTGGAAAACAATAAATTGCATTCATGTCAGCCGAGGCCCATCCCTTTGCTAATTACCGTTTGGTGCTGAAATGACTTCTGTGAAATTGGGAGCATGAAGAAACACACAGCCGTACAAGGGAGGCTTTTCAGGCAGCGGCAGTAAATGTGAGATAGGCCTTAGGCGCACAGATGTTAAACCAGCGAATTCCCCTACAGATTACACTAATGGAAACCCTGTCAGGGTAAGTCAAATCCAGGGTCTGTGGTCAAAATCTAATTAATGTTCCTGTACTTAAAAAGAATATGAATGCCTGGAGGTGATGAAGAACACATAAGAAACTTGCTTGTTTGTAAAATTGCTGGTGTGGATGGCAACCGCCACCGAGCCCTTCCTTAGGAGGTAACACCTGCTACAGAAGCTGCTTGCACTGCTCGGTGCAGGGCTGTGGGCACTGGGCTCAAACCCTCTTTCAAGTCCTGCATGAAAACAGCTGTTGGCTCCAGGCCCACCTTCCCTGTGGACAGTCATCGCCGTCATTAAACACCTTCTCTTCCTTTGGTATGGGCATGCGGTGTCAACTTTGCTGTTTAGAAAGTACTTGTAGCTGACAATGTAGGAAAGGGCCAGCTCCTCTTTGTACAAAAACAAAGCCGACTAGGTTGAGCTTGAGGACACTGCTGGGGCTCTTACAGCGCTTTCACAGCTGCACTGTGCATGGCCTGTGCAATAACAGAGGAAATGAATTTATAATGCAACAATCTCTTCGTTTTCACAAGCACAAAAATTCCTCTAAATACTTAAAATAACACTCAGAGTGGGACAGACCTTAAATTTTGAATAAATGAAACCCTAATCCACTGTGTTGCTGAAACAAGCTTGTTATTAAAGAAATAAATTTGAAACAGCAAGTGGTTTGAGAATTTTGGATTTAATTATTTAAATCTGCTTAAGATAACTCTCCAGCGCTGTGCTTGGGTTTCCTGTTGAGAGTGTGTTTTCCAGTAAAGGTATTCCACCCAGTGCCTTGGAAATATTACTTTCTCATGCAACAGTGGTTTAAGCAGTAGAGATGAATAATTATGATTATAATAAGGCAAGATATTGTATGGAAACTTGGTGGTATTTCTTGGTGCAGCCTGTCATGAAAACTACACAGAGCCAATTGTGTTTGGGGAGATCACCACTCTCCTTGGCTAAATGGCAGGTGGAATGTGGCTCCAAATGCTCTTCGGGTAAGGGAGAAATTTAATTCCCTTAGTTGTGTTACAGGGTCTGCCAGACCAACAATATGAAGCAGTAAGTTTGCAATTTTAAGTTAATTTGAGGTATTATATGTTACTTAATAGATAAATATTGGGAATCAGTCTTTGTTCATTGCTGATTAGTTAAAAACCGCTACTTCATCTTTAGGATATAAGATTATCTTCTATCTCAGTATAGATCAAGAAGGTAAAATCTGTCTTGTCTTTTGTAGGGCCATAACAGGAGCTTCCTGGGTTCTGAGTCTGCATTTAGGGTAAGAACAGAAGAAGTGTATTCAAGATGACCCTGATCTGCACAAGTGTTCAGCTTTCCAGTCAAAATTTTTGGGGACAAAAAAGAGGCAAGTCCAGAGTTTCAGTCAATCTCTCTTAACTGTTCAATAGCTATTCACAGGTCTGACGGTCAACACAGTCATATCATCGTCTGAATCCAACAGCACCTACCAACTCAAAAGCTGGTGCTTGGTTCAGCACTGTGTTCTCTAAAAATAACAACATATATAAGGATGCTGTTCAACCAAAACCCAAAGGACTTGCCTGGTTATCCTCAATCAAGCATGCTCACTGATTTACCTAGTGATTATTATCAGTATTTTCTTTTATAAATATTTTTTATTTTCAAGAGAAGATTCTACAAATACTTTTTTCTTAAACAGTAATGTCTATGTTTATGTGTTACATGAGGCAGATGTTGGTTTAATGCTTAATTCTCACTTAAGATATCTTTCAGTCCACTGAAAGGGGTTGATTAGTGTCCCCTAGCTGAACTATTTTTTCCCTCTGTTGCTTTGACCCATTGATTTAATTAAGGTCTAATAAAGAGAGGGCTGAAAGATTGTTAAAAATCCTTTTTTTTTCTTCCACAGATCTGACCTATGCTGGTCTGTCAGTGCATTTTTGACTCACACATGCCCTCTTTAATATGTAAGCACACTTATACAGAGTTTGTCTTCCTTAGAGCCAGTTGTTTTTTTCCCTTAGTGATAGGTCAGATTTAATTTTGGTTTTAACCAAAGCAAATGCTTTCCTGGAGACCTTCTATTTTAGTGAAAATAAGTAATGAAAAAATAACCGAAACAAGTCACAGTATCAAAAGGAAAGACCTTAGAAAGCTTAGCGGTGACCTTTTCTTTTTCTGTTTCCTTTCCCATCCTCCTGTTGCCAGTGAAGAAAGAGAAATGAAAATTCTGGGTTTGCTTTTCAATTAAGTAACAAGAACGACTGAAAGTTTATGAAACATGGAGGGTTTTCATTGAAAATGCTTGCTACTTTTCAACTTTGTGTCTTGCCTAGGTCAGTGTTAATGCTCAAAAAAATACTTCACCCTACTTGTCATACTGCCAACCTGCTGTTTTCCTTTCCCTTCTCCTCCTACCAGCTCTGCAGTTTGCCACTCTAGGGTGAGAAGAGCTGTTCCCAGCATGCTAATTTTGCCACTGAGCAGGCTCATCTGTATCTTGTAAAAGGGAGGTTACCACAAATGTGTACCCTTACCACACTCTGCTTCTGCAGTAGGAGAGGACTTCTGGCACTGAGGCTCCCAGTGCTATCCCTGCTGTGCCAGGGCCGCAATGACAGTCTTCAGAAGAATAAAGAAGGGGAAAAAGCCCCAGCTGCAGCTTCAAGGAATGGCTGAATGTGCTGTTCACGTCTTGAAAGAACAGCATTGCTATCCACAGTGGCAGTTTGTAAGCATGAACCTTCTTAGATGGCTCTCTTGCTCAGATTTCTGTGCTGCAGCTCGTTAGCAGGAGAGCTGCCTGTGGGGCTGCGACAGGTTTGCAGTACGACAGGATATGCACTAAAATAAAAATCTGGTTAGGGGTGGTGTGATCCCAGTGCTGGCTGGGCACTGGCAATTAAGCCTGGATGAAAATAAGACACCTGGACTTCGTAACTCCTGGGATGTGACATACCACTTGCTGAGGGCCATCGCTGCCCAGGAAAGCATTAAAACAGGTGTATAAATCCTACTGTGTTCAGTGGGATTTAGGCACCTGCTTAAATTTAAGTGCTTGTTTAGAGAGTTTCCTGAATGAAAGCCTGACAATTGTGCCCAAGAGTAACTTTTAAATTAGTTTTAATTTGCTCATCATAACCAGCTGTCATGAGCCTATGTAAAAAGGGTTTGATTTTGGAAAGATGAAAGACTTCCCAGGTCCTTGGCTTTCATGTAAGCACCCTTCCCGGATGGCCAGCACCCTGCTGAGCTGAAGCAGCCCTACTCAGCCCTGCTTTTATTCCTCCTTGCTTCGTGGTCCCACAGGGGCTGCGGTGTTAGCCCAGCACTCTGCAAAGCAAACTGCCCTGCCAGCAACTGACATCACCCGACTGCACCTCTCCAGCCGTGTCCCATCTGAGGCAATCTGCAGGCTGCAACAGAGGAAGAGAGAGTCCACTCTGTATTTAGGAGGTGAGTGCAAATGCAAGTTAGGGGACTGAAAGAGAGAGGGGGGATTTGTGTCCAAATGGAAGAGTCAACTGAACCTCCCACTTGGAAGCATAGCAGTCCTTTTGTGTCATACGAGTCAGAAAGCTTCAAGAGCTTCTTCTTCTTGGATTTTTTCCCTTTATAATCCCTTCTTTCTTACAATAGAGTTGGAGAGTAAACTTGAAAATAAATCTAGTGTTACATTTACAGCAACCAGTCTCAAAGGAAAAACAAAATCCAACAAACTCAAATTACTACTTAATTCTGTATGTGCACATGTTTACATGCATCATCTACTTAAGACAAGCAGAACTGTGTCCATGTAGCTGAGAGTTATTTTATTTTTTTCCTGAAATAAGTGGTTAATTAGTCAATGGATGATACCACTGTTGTGTAGCTCTCAGAAAACCTAGACTTGCAATTAAAATATTTTAAAGGCATTTTTTTATAGAATCCTTAGGTAATTAAGCTGAAGTGCCTGTAGATTTTATATATAAATGTACTGGAGCAGTGGTAGCTAGTAGTTAAGGTCAGGTAGAAACCAACCTTGCATTTAGAGCCTTTTTTTCCAGTACCTCAGTTGAAACCTCCCTAAATCTAAATTAATCTTCCAGAAAAGTATGGGAAATTTAGTTTATGAGGGGGAAAAAAGGTCTTGCATTATTACCATAGTCTATCAGTCTTCCCTCAGCGTGACTCCATTCATTTTGCAATATGTGGCTGTTCAGCATTGCCACGGCTGAACTTCAGAAGACTTTTGCTGAAATAAAGCATATTATGGGAACAGTCGCATTGGGGTGCCCCCACCAAGGCAGGAGCAGGACCTCAGCTCTGACGGGCTGCAGCCTGGGAGGCTGAGGGCAGATGTAAGAGAAGTCTTTGTGTGGCCCACAAAAAGTGACTTTGGGACAGTACTGTGCTCGAGACAGCTGTGACAAAATTGAGAGCAAACCTGGCTGTGCTGCTGTGTCCTACTGCAGTGCTGCTGTAGCCCATTTCACTCCACAAGATCCTCTGCTTGGTCTGCAGTTTCCCTCTTTGCCTCTCGAAGCTGTTCCCTTCCTTGCAGTCTTGGTTCCTCTCCTCCTTGCCAAGTACCTTGACTCCAGCCTGATCTGAAAGTTAATTTTAACAAATAAGATCTTGGGCCAAGCCAAGTTAGGATCTGGAGATAGGACACGCTGCAGGAAGGGAGCAGGGTTGGGGGTGTAAAGGAGCATGAACACTCAGCCTTGTAATGTGTGTGAGAGCTGATGCTCTCTGAGCAATCGAGTGCTTATTATTTTTTCTCTTGGATAGGTCACCTGGGAGTGGAGGAATTTTTCATTTTAAATTAAAAAGAAATCTTTTATAATGCTCATTTCTGAAAGGGAAAAAAACCCCAACCTCATCATGGAAGCAATTAGATGGAGGACACATTGAAAGCAGTGATTAGTTGTTAATTTTTGAGCTGTTGGCCCTGACAGAGGGTTTTTTTGTCAAGGATTTTTTTTAAAGGTGTCTTTCATATGCCTATAGTCCAAGGTTACTTCTCATTCAATAGCAATTACCATATGTCCATTACATGCTAGAGACTGCTTGAGGTGGATGCAGTGGTCCCCTTCAGAGCATGTGTCAAGTTGAAATGCCAGCAGCCATGTGAGTCACGGGATAATTGTTCCTATCTGTTTCTTCTCTTTTCCAAATCTAAGTAAACGTTCTAGGGAGTAACTTCCCCTTTCCTTGATGCAGCCTGAAAATGCAGCCCTCTGGTTTGCATTTCAGGTTCCAAGTCAGCCGTGTTAAGATTTGAACAAGAATCAAGGAGGATAATGGGTCAGATGTAATTAAGAGGTAAAACTACTGGTGAAATAGGTTTTCTTTCTTTCTGCCCATCAGATTACAAACCTCAGTCCCACCACCACTTCAAAAACCTAATCTGTAACTGTGAACCCTGGATAACTGCTCTATTGTATCAGATGAAAACCAACCAGACACCACAACACAAAAAAATACACACATGGTACCTCAGAAAAATATGGGGCTGAAAACACAGAAAAAATTCAGTCTTGTTAAAATGTGGACATGGTCCAGTAATGGAATGAGTAGGGAAACTTGAATGGATCAGAGTCAAAAAACACTCTGCTTAATTCTTGGGTTTTTTTTATTTGCCATTCAGCTTACATCAGTGTTAACATCTACTGAGAAATGCAGCCATTTACAATTTGCAGTTCAATGTGCTACTTTAATTAGTATGAAAATTAAAGGGCAACTATAGGCCAATGTGAATGATTATGGAAATACATGTGCATCACATGCTATGCTCTCATTTAATTAATCGTCTTGTAAACTATATCAAGCACTTTAAGTCAGTTGCTGAGTATAACAGCTCTATTTTAAATAACCACTTAATACTTAACAGGATGTGGAGAAAACACTAGCACACGACTGCTTCTCAAGTTTCAGTGTCTGAGATTTTTTAAAGCTGACCCAAGTCAACCCAAAGAATGTTTAACACCCTGTGTCTGCACACAAGAAAGTCTGTGATGTACAGACATTCAATTACATTTTTTAAAAAGTGAGAAACATTTTGTAAAATAGTAACTTTAGAAAACTAATTGGCATCAGCAAACTTGGGAGTGAAGGCCAAAGCTAGAGGGGACCTTTTACTACAGTAACTCTAGTCAAGGAAAATGAAAATAAAGGCATCTTTGTTTCTCAGTCAAATTAGCTGATTAAGAAATAAGACATTTTAACGTGCTTTAAATGCAGCATTAATTATTTATATGAAAAAAAATTAAAGCCAGGTTCCATGAATTACACTTTGTGTCTGTGAATTGAATGTTACGGGAATAGCAATCCTTTTACATTCATGCCTTACTTCATTAGGCAAAACTAAATATTAAGGGCTCTATTCATTCAAAAAATTCTTATTCATTCAAATCACACCTTTTCTATGGCCTTTTTTTTTTTGGGGGGGGGTACAGTTTACAGCACTGATTTTTAAATATGATTCAAAAAAGGCAATCTACTTCTACAGCCCTAGGATGGGCTCTAGTACAAAAAAAGTATTTAGCAAAAGACAAGGATCCAGTGGTGGGTCTTGCTTGTCATTGGTGAAAAAGGTCCAGAATAAGTCATATTGTAGGGTCTCAAAGCTGGTGTAATAACATAGGAAATCAGTTGCATTACCACCAGTATCTGCATTACCAGGGAAGCTCTGAACTCTGTGAGCCCTTTTTCCTGTAGATTTAGTAAATAATTCCCCCCCCCCCCAGTTTATTGTTTCCAATGACTGGGCAATGCTTTATTCAGGTGAATGAAGGACAGAGGTTGTTTACTCAGGCATGTGTGTTCAGGGATGTACTGTTCTGTTTTCCATATATGTTCATTTTAGCAATGGTGTGTCCCATGCTTGGCTCCCTGAGAAGAGAGTCCATCCACTGAAGCTGAGCTGCACTGATCTGTGGGATGTGGTTAAACACCTGCTGGGACTGAGGCTGGGATCATCAAAGCCAGTTGTCTGCATTTCTTTGAACGCAGACACGAATTAAAGAGCTTGTGCATTAATTAATTGTTTTCCTAACACATATGTGAAAAGAAATAAGAATTGAACTCTGGTTTGTTTCAGCTTCTTTCCTTGGGTGTTTTTTTGTTGTTGTTTTTTACCAACTGAAGAGTGAAACAGCTAGAACTGTGCAATGATGATAATCTTGAACTTTCAAAATAATTAGAAGATTCACTTAACATTAAAGTAATAACTTTAAAAGGGGGAAGGAGGAAGCCAGAAATGATGAAAAAGGGGTTACCCAGAAGCTTGCGAATTGTCAGCTGGCTGAATTTAAATAAACTTTTAGGAAACAAAATATTGGGAAGTGGGACAAGGCGTCAGATGGTTGGGTAAGATTGATGTATTTAATAGTTTAGTTAATATGGATCAACATCTGCCTTTAGTTACATCTGCACAACCCCCTGACTTCAGCAGTGTTGTACTTTTGCAACCAAGTTTGGACTGATGTTTTTAAATAGGCCCCAGTGCTGAATATCTGCAGAAAGCCTGCAGTGCTCAGTGCTGGTGTAACCAGGCAGCTCTGGAGAGATGGGGTAATACAATATGTTATTGTTTCTTGTGTAATTTTTAAAATACATCAAGGAGTAATATATTTTTTATAATAGGGTGCTCCCTGTCTCTTTAAGCAACTGTCAGATGTAGAATGTCCTCATGCCAGAATGCTACGGTCTGCTCCCTCTGTGCAATTGTTAATTAAATCCATCCCTTATTGTAGAGCCTGCCTAGTCTTTTACCCGTTCTGCTTATCTGTGATACCAGATGATGCTCAGTAATTCATGGCCAACCTGCTCCCACCTTCAATAGGGCCTCCTGTGCACTGACCTTAACCAGCTTCACCTTTTCATTATTCCCAAGGAGAACAGAGCCCTGGAGGCAACAGTTTTATCAACTTTTCCTGTTGACCAGATGATGGTTCAGTGATAAATAAATGGAGTGTGCTTGAGCTGGAGGCCTCCCACACACCGTCACTCCCTGTCCTTCTCTGGCTCCTGCTGCCTGCCTGGACACAGAGCTTTGCATCAGAGGGGGACTGTCCTCAAAGGACACTGCATGCTGCTCTGCTGCTGCCAGGCAAGACCTGCTTTTGCCTATCCAGGTAATGCTCTGCTACTCATCATGTCAGCTGAAAAGTTTCTCTGCTTGGCACTGAGCTGTGCCACCTGAAAATGTCTTTTCCCCGGTAGTAAGGCTGATATACAGGAGCTGGTAGGAATATTTTTGTATCTGACAAGCTGTTTCCCATGAACAGTGTCAAAGATTTAAAAACCCCTTCTGCAAATAGAACTTTCTGGCAAATATAGTCTAAGCAAATCTTTTATTATTACCACATGGCTAGAAATACTCCTAGAGTTCTCCTGGAAGTGGGTACTGTACCAGCAGAAAGCAATATTCTGTTGGCCTGTGCATTGCCTCGAGGGTATTTACTATGGTAATAAGATCAGTAATTCATCTCCTAAAATCACTGGGAGTACAAATGCTTATTTAAGTAGATGGTATCTTGATTACAACTGAGTCAGGAGAGTTCTTAAAGCTGCCTGTTTAGGCTGCAGATCTTCTTTTAAAGGCAAAGAGCTGGTAAGCACAAGAACATCATGTTTCACAGCTACCTTACGTTTTCAGCAATGCGCAGTACATGCACAGCACATCCCTCAACAAATGGGCATGTACAAATAAGTCAAGTAGTTATGCCTGTTAGGGGTTTTTTTTGCTTTTTTCTTTCCATAGAAATGTAATGAAAGGAGAGATAAATCTCTCTGTCTCTAAATGGTTGGTTAGAACAAAGGAAACAGAGAGAAAGCCATACTCTAACAGCACATAGAGCCATTCAAACCCCACTGTGCTGGGAAACGCAGCACCAACATAAATTCAGAGTCAGCCTTGGCGCCCAGAAGAAACAAAAAGGAAAAGATCTGGAGGTAAAATGATTTGATTCATCACAGAGCAGGCCAGTGTCAGAGAACTATCCTAAGTTCTTGAGTCTCTTGCAGCCTTCCATCTACTAGCTCACAAACTCAGCAGGCCTCTTCTCTGGAAGTCCTGGAGGCAGAAGCCTCCAGTCTTGCTCAACTGTTTTTGTGTATTTATTGACAAATATGATTAAGAGAAATCATGGATTTATGGCAATGGCATAGAAATGTGAGTTTAAGGATGTAGTTTCTAATCCCAAACTCTGTCACAAGAAGTATTCACAGAAAGGATGATACAATCTCGAAATACAGAGATTCATCAAGTTGGTTTATTTGAGTAAAATCATAGTTTGACTTCTGAGAATCTCAAATCAGTGCCATTTCCTGTGCCAGGAAAGTCTCAGGTGGTCCATAGTATTTCACATTGGTGATGTGGCATTGAAAGTGAATCACAGAAAAACTGAGCTAGAAGTGCCTAAAACAGATGTACACTAGTTTGCCAAGAAGCCTGAGCCCTTAATGAGGATATGTGGCTGAAATGGAAAGCATTAGCAGTTACCCTGCAGAATGTGGTTCTGTACTTTAAATTCATCAATACTACTCTTTCTTTGAACAGTTATTAAGCTAAATATCACTGAGGTGTGTGCAAATTTGATGAGAGAAATATTTGTTTGTGCTGTCTATATATTTCAGAAATTAAAGATTTTTTCAGCAGGCACAATTCTATCCTGTGAGCCAGAATTTTCACTTTAATTTTTTCTGCAGGCATGGAGCATAACTAGCATTTGAAATAACTTTCATCAGCTTGATCACTGTCATCAGACAGAGTACAAATGCAAATGAAACTAATAATTTTTGCTGAAGTTCTCTTGATTCCACCAGAATGTATGGAATTGTCTTCTGTTAGTTAACAGTGCTTAACACTTATGTAGCAATTTCCATCCTCGGTGACAAGCTTATTAATCAATGCAACACCTTTGAAAGGAGCATTGCTATGTATTCCTATTAGACTGTGAAATTTAAAATGTATGGATGTGCTCTGAAGTGTTGGTCAAATAGCCAAAGAAATCTGCGTTTCGAATTTGGAAGTTTGTGGTTTCTGTCCCCTGATTAGGCCAGACTCCTCTGACACACAGACCGCTTTATGCATTTAATAGATCAAGCTCTGCTGGGTTTAGAGCCACACATTAGTGTGGCCATACTCTGACTTTGAAATGTGGCAATAACACAACCGTTTTCTATAATTGCTGCCTTGAGGACCTGAGACAGGGATACAGCACACTGCTGTGATTTGCTCTTTGCAGCTTTGTTAAGACTCGCAGGAGCTGGAAGGTGTGTTTCCAGTGCACAGTAAATAGGGTTGTGTTAAATGACCCCTGCCTTTTTTCATGCTAATAGGTGTGACCCTGTTAGGCTAACAAAGAAGTCAGTCTTGACATAGTGATGATAATTTTGTCTAGAGTGAAATCCATTGGGTTCCCTCACCTCTTTTCTGTGCATGCTATTGTAGGACACTAATGGTACTGCTGATCTGCTCTTCTCGCAGCCAAGAAAGTGTCAGATGAGAGCATTTTCTGCTTGCTACATCCCATGAAAAAAAAAATGTATATTCTATCCAATAAGCTTGGTTTGGGAAATGAGTTTTGTTCAATGTTACCAGCTCTGCAGAAGCCACCAGGCAAGTGCAGTGAAAAAGGCCTCCTATAAAGGGTATAATGAAAGACAAACCATTTCAGTTGGTGACTAGAGGCATATCAATAAAAATCAACTCCTGCATATATCAAGTGATTGATAGCAAGTTTGAAAGCTTTTTCACTTCCCTGGTAGTACCATCCAACTGCAATAAAACACTTGAATTTCTCTGTTACCCTTGCAGATAAACCCTGCTCATGCTGCATGTAAGAGAAGCTTCAAGAATTTAAAAAAAAAAAAAAAAGTACAGGGAGTTATTGCTTTTAAGTAGCTCAATCCATTGCTTTTAAGGGTGACAATATCTAAACTGTAGCAGGAGGGGAACTGTTAAACGTCTCCTTGCTTTGCTCTGTTCGTAGGCAGCCTGTGAGACCTTCTCAGACGTAAATCAGCCTGCCCCAGCGTAACAGGCCATGATGTGCCTTGTAAGCCAAGAGAGGAGCTTTTGGGATGTCTGAAGGGAAAACTTCAGATGACAACAGCTACCTAAAAATTCACACCCCTCTGGCAAGCTCAGCAAGCTTAGTCACTGTGACAGACCAGGGCCAAGGGCCAAACAGTGCAGGCCCCCACATACCTGCCTGCAAGGCATAGGCTGCAGTCCCATTCTCACTGACTCCTCAATAGGGAAATTGGTGGTACTATCCATAGTTTGGGATTGAGGCTTGTAGCTGCTTCTCTCCCTTGTGGATGCTGAGTCTGGCCCCTCAGGACATCTGCTGCTTGGTCTCATGCTGTTAGTAGGAACCGATTGCTCCTATTGAAAAGGACTCTGTGTTTTGAGGATTTGTGCATCCAGATATTGTGAAACATTAATTCCTAAAAGCATTATATGAGTTTTATGAGTTTATATGAGAAGCATTATATGGGTTTTTATTAACAAACCTGTATCTGTTTCATTGGCTCATGCTCATGGAGGTTTTGTGTCAGCCATTGGGAGCCTACAAACCTTGAGAAGTCAAGGGGTTTCTGGAAAACTCTTTCTAAGATTAATTTTCTAGTTAGATGGTGTTCCTTCTCACAATAGAAGGAAGCCAGGTTCATTAGATTCCAAGACTTGGGAAAGCACCTTGAAAATACCAAGGTTGATCTTCTTTGTCCATACACAACCTGTTTATAAATTGATTCCAGCTGCTACGCTTGGGTTTGGATCTGGGTTCAAATAACCCTTAATTCAAAGGTGAGACCTTTATCCTGCTGATATCAATGTTATTTCTATTACTGGCTTAACAGGATGAGGGTCTATGCTGTGTTTTAAACCACAGAGTTTTAGTTTCACCTATATGTAATGTAAAGATGGGCATTAACTGGGAAGTCTAAATTTCTGGAAGTCTCTCTCTCTCAGTAGTTCTTATTAAATTCACTACTCCAGCATAATGTAGCTTTCTGTTCTAATCATAGCATTGCCGTGCTTGGGCATGGCACATCAAAGGGTTTACCTTGCTCTCATAGCAGAATCCTCCTTAGATTTGCTCACTCTGGGGACCCACACCAGATTTCCCCGGTTCTGCACACAGGCCAGATTTTCAGTTCCCTTTTAATCTTTGGCAATTTGAATTTATATGGAAAACTTACAGGTGACAGTCTGGTTATGCTGAGACAAGTAGGATAGAAACCATGTCAGAACAGTCCCTGAAAGTCCTACGATGTGCTTAAAGCATTTCAAGAGAACCCTTGATCCAAAGTATCAAAGGGTTACAGTAAGATCAAGAAGAATTAAAACTGATGGTGTGCCAGAAATCACGTGCAGCACAAGGTCATTACTCACCCTCGTTAAAGTGGTCTCAGTACTGTGGCCTGATCTGAAGCTTAATTGAAAAGTTTCAAATGATGCATTATAACGAAGACAAGACAGCCACTGCCCATTCCACGACCCCTGCTAAAAAAGGTAGATTGGTAATAGGGCAGAAATCTAAGCAATTGCTTGAGGATAATCAAGGCCTAATGAGGTATCCACTTCAGTCTTTCAAAGGTGGAGAAACCTCTCCCTGACACTGGAGAAAATGCAAGGGCTGACGTGAGCAGGTACCGGCATCCAGGGAACAAGCCATCTGGCCAGAGTAGTCACCGTCCTTAGCAATGGGGGGAATACAGGGAGCAATACCATATCAATAGTGTGGGTTTTCAGCTGTGCAGAAGATTAGTGCTATGGCCTGGGACAACCTCTTCTCAGTTGTCTTCTTTTGCAATCATTTTCTGTTAGCCCAGACCTTGGCCCAAAGCGATCAGAGGGGATATATCAGGTCTGAATTAGTAGTTGTGTTAGGAACCAAGAGAGTGGCAGTAAGAGATAGCTGACTGCTGATGTTATCAATTTTCCTTAAAAATTCACAAAAAAACCCAAAATGTGTTGACGTCCAACTTGAGTGTGATAACAAACTGCAAGTCACAATTACCCAAAAAGATCAAGTATCTCCTTGCCATCTTCCTCTTTTGTTGTTCTATTATCTGGTCAAGCAGAGAGGTCAAGGCCCACATCCACATGATTATCTCCACATCCAGTTGCCAGATTGTGAAAGCTACTCTTCCTGGGCTACTGCTTGGGCAGCCATACTAAAAGATTTGCATGTGTCCCTGCCCAATGAGCAGTTACAGCACTGAATCACCTTTGAGTCTGCAGAAGCCAAATGGTTTTTCAACTTTTAGAAATAGTCATCTCACTCATTTTAACACATATCTGCAGGATGTGCTTTTGTCAGGAGAGGGTGTCTCTCCAGACTCATATCTGCTTGCTGAGCAGGTGTTCTTGCTGTTCCTAATCTCTCCTGTTTGATAAGATCTCCCTCCTGTCTTAAAATACATCAGCCATGGAAAGATAGACCAGAAAAAAAAAGCATTGTACAGGGTTTTGGGTTCAGTGACAGAGGACAGCCTTCGGTGATGGACTTGCTTAAAGGCATCATAATCAATGACAAGTTGTGAAAATTGTTTAGCACCATGACACATTTTTTTTGGCCTTCAAGTTCCTCCCTAATTTTAAGTACATTTAAAGTCAGTGTGCCTAGTTTCTTTGCTATGAATCCTACTTTAATTATCTTTTGCTTTTTCATGTAATTTCCTTCAACTTCGAACACAGAGACTGAAAAAGAAGGCTAATATAAAGGAAAAGTTATAGTAAAATAATTAAACCACCTTTTATGCAACTCTTCAGGTAACTGTCTTGAAGACCATGAAAGGTGAAATTTGCTTTGCTGGAACATCCTTGGGTTTAGCATTAAACCATGTAAGAGCTTTGATATATGACAAATGGCATCAGCTCTACAAAGTATTACTGGTTGGCTGTAGACCTGTTACTCGCTGTTGCTTGCAAATTAATACTGTAAGTCTGTGTGTGTAAAAAGGTTGTCATCACCAGTGCCTATGGTCACTGCAGGCTGCACCCACCAGCCTGAGGACTCCACATCTCTACTTTCCTCAAGATGAATTGATGTGTTAAGCTGCTGGTACCCATGGAAGCAGCAGCTGAGCAGTCTTGCCTGGGAAAGAACCAGTGCTTCTTTGTTTCCAGGTCTTCAAGGACCTATGGGACAGCATGAGAGGACAGGGCACTGCCAGCTGCTGTGTGAGAGCTGGAGCCTGCCACAGCATGAGAGGGGCCAGCAGTGAGAAACGGGCTGCCTGCAACAGCATGAAGGTACAGTGTCAAGAGGCATTTCTTGATATATTGTTTCTTGTTAAGAATCATTGATTGATTTAGCCATTTACAGGATGTTTTAATCATTTCACTTGCATATGAACAAAGACAAAATACAAATGGAGGGATGCCTAGCATGTCTCTGAATCAGGCACCCGTCTGCTCTTCCCAGGTGTCTGCAAATCACAGCTAGATCTGACCATTTCGACTTTAATACTCTCAGGCTCATTGCGTGACTCTTGTGGATGGGCCCATTCAGCGCTAAGGGTTGGACTCTGTGACACTTCCAACTTGGCATATTCTCTGATTTTATGACTTCAGGGTTGCCTTTTCCTCATCTGTTGTAGACAATATGATTTCCCACACTTTCCCTGGGTCATTGCACCTTTCAGACAACTCACTGGGTCTTATCTTACAATATCTTAGGCTAGGGAAAGCTGAGGCCGGCCTTAATTGGTCTATTCTACAGGTGTTTTGTGCATGAGGTGTGTGTGATGGGCCATAGACCATGGACTGGCCACTGCTGGTTTGGCTATGAAGGATAAGAAAAACTTCCAAAGAACTTGCTATGGAAGGGGGGCATGAAACTGAACATGAGTGACCTATATGCACCTTCTTATGTCTGCTGAGTTTTAAGTAATGAGAGGGGGAAAAAAACCTCTGACAATAAAAAAAAAAAGTAAATCCTTGAATCCATGTAGCAAAAAATAGGGCAGTTGAGTTATCAGTAGCTGATGAGAATACAAGAAGAGTAATTATTGTATAGTCCTATAAAATTGTACTGCAACTCAAAAGAAAAAAAAAAGAAAGTCGCCAAAGAGAGCCCAGTGAGTTTCTTCATGGGAAAAATAGCTTCTATTATATGAATAGAAATATCAGCTTGTGTGCTTAGCAGAGAGCTCTGGACTTATGGAAATTCAAAACATTTCCATATATCCCAGTCCAGGATGGAATTAAAGTGTTGTAAAGCTTCCCTGGAAGCCAACATTTATCTAATATGTAAGCATATTTAGATTTCATTTTGAAACGGTTGTTAAAGGCTATCCTTTGGCTGCACTCTATCCTTCTTTCTAACTTTTTTTTTCTAAATCGTTGAACTCTGAGATTTTTATGCTAAGAAAAATGTACTTTCAGAACCAGAAATATCTGAATGACCAGTTACATTATGTACTAACCATGAGAGATATCCATTGAATCTGCTCCCCTCCTCCAATTTATTTGCTGTTTTTCCAATCATGCCTTGCATTAATGTTCTGCACTTAGCTAAACTCTGTGTGTTGTATTTTAGATCTATTTTTGTTTTGCCTAAAAAATTTCCAAATTGGCATTAGATATTCAAGATGTAATCTCTGTAGCAGGAAACTAGTTATCAGATTCATATAAAATAACTGGGCAATGGAAATACCTCTGCGCAGAAAGCTTTTTTTTTTTCCTTAGAATTAATTTAGAGGGAATTTAATGCCTGTGAAAGGTGCTGGATTGCAACATCAGAGAACTGAAGCTACTATTTAACCACAGAGCAGTTACAGGATGGGAGATGGCTTTACAAGATTCCCCATGAGGGTTGACAAAATAGTTGTCTCCGGTTTGGCTCCTTTAATCTAGTTGGAACAACCAAGCTTTCATGTGTTGGTAACAGTTGCTCTCAAGTTGTTGGCTTTCACCTGGGTGATGTAAAAAGTGTGGCAGGGATTCTGCTTTTGTGATAGCTGGCTAAAATTTATCATATGATTAAACCTAAAAGACTAGATTTACTACAGCTGAGTTGGCACAGCTCTGTAAGGGACTGTTTTGAGTAAAAAAATTTAAAGCACAAGATGTGTCCATGCTGATCCTGCCCTGTGCCACAGAGGCAGGTATGAACTGGAAGTGAAGGGCAAACACCGTGCCCTGCACCCTCATGCACACTCTACCACCACCCTTGCAATACCCCCGGGCACAGTGCCACTGTGCTTGAACCATTTCAGAGGGAGTCTCAGACCCAAAGTTCACATCTTTTGCATTCTGTTGCCTCGTTTTTATCAGAGAAAAGATGAGAGTTTTACACTCTAAGATGTCATTATTGGAGCTATGCCAGGTTCAGGGGTCAATTCTCATCTTTTCCCTTTTTTCCCCAACATTTCCAGAATCCTTATCTCTGAAGGCCTCTTGTGGTCTCTATAGTTTGGATCTTAGGTCTCAGTTGTCAGGTTACCATTGGACAGGTACGGACAGTATCATGTGTGCTGATAGTCTTGCCAGACGCCGGAGACACCGAAGACCATTTCTCAATGATATGCATTAAGCTTCAGTTTATATTTTTTACTTACTTAATATGTTTGGTGGTGATGGTTTTTACTGACTTCATGAGGAGGGAGGGAAGCAAGTAGCCTCAGGGTGGATTTTATGAATTTCACTCAGAGGGGGAGACTTTCTCAGTGCTGCCTGCCTCCCCTGAGCATATCAGGAAAAGAAAATCACCCTTTTCATGTCTCCCATGTGCCTGGTCTCACAGGCCCACACGGGGCTGTCCACCATGGCTCTGCTGCTCTCACAGCAAGGCCAGCAGAAATACAGCCATGACTGAACGGACCAGTGGGCTTATTACTGTAACACAAAGTCAACTTATGCTTAAGCCCACAAGGAACCAACTGAAAGTTTTTTCCTCTGAAGCCACATTCTTCTGCTGGTTGTGGTATGTTGGACAGAGGCTGCATTCCCTCACACTGGAATTTCCTGTATTAGGACTGCACAGGAGTGGTTTTATTTTGTAGTCCTTGAGAATTCTGAGCTTCATGGATTTCACAGCCTTTATGCACCATGAAACAAAGATCTGGTTTCTACTGAGGCATTGCAGAAAGGATGAGCATCTACTGACTTGTTGGTCTTCCAAAATCTGATGCCCTCCAAGATCAGAGGTGAACCAATCTGGGATCATCTCACTGAAGACTGAGGTATTAGTGACACAGCTCTCATACAGCTCATATATGCTTTTTGCACTAATTTTTTGAGCTAAAAGAAACATTTCCTTTTTGTATTGTCAATTTGGACACTAATGTACTGCTGAGGGAGCTCTTGTTGCTTCTGTTGTTGTTGGAATACAGTGGTTACAATCTGTAAAACACTAAGCCAGGCCAAGGCACAGGCATCCTGCTTCAACATCTCCCACCCTAAACAAGCTTATCATCTTCTGGGCTTGTAGGTTCAGTACAATAAAGGCAATGTCATAGGTTCACTTTGTGATGAGAGCTTTTTAGAGAGGCCTGTAGACTCTCTTTTCTCAGACTCACCCGACTCCAGCCCAGCTGTGCTATTCCCCCTTCTTTACTTAATCAAAATTGCATGTCAGATATCTAACCCACAAATTTACAGCTTCATTGAAATGGAGGCAGGTTATGTAAGACTTTCTGCATAAAAATGTGTAATATATTGTACTATATTGAGTTTTGTGGAAGAGTGGAAAATATCAGTTTGGTTTTGGAAAACTATATAGAGTTATTGAGATGCCAAGTTTTTTCATTGTTCTACTAATGTCTTCCTGGTCTGCAGGGTTTTAAAAGATACATCTAAGAAATTTTGCACTGTGGTGTTGAGTCAGATCTCAGACTTTCATAGGGAATAAAGTGGCAGATGTGATTCTGTGGAACAGGTTTCTCAAAATTGCCCCAGCCCAACTCTTCACCCGCTCTCCTTTATGCACTTCCCTACCTTAAGTTGTTCTTTCTGAGTCAGTTTGCCAGGTACTCTGTGTAACTGGTGAAGTGGACTGAAATGCTCAATTTTCCCAGTATTTGTACTTTATGACTAAGCCACATTATTGGTTTAGGATTTTTAAAATCTAAGCAAGGATACTTTCTACCTTTATTGCATGTTAATTAACATTGTGCTTTATGGAGAATTAATATTATATAAACTGTAGTCCTCCCTCAGCCATCTCTCTCCTGTACCTGCATTCCAGAAAACTGCTTGGTTTTTTTCCCCATTGCAACTGTTGTGCTTCCCAGCAGGCCAACAGAAATTTTCAGAATTGCCACAGAGTTTCACAAATAACCAGTCAAACCTTCCCCACCCGAACCTTCCTGACAGAGTTTTTCTTTTATATCTTTACATTCTTTTTTATTAAATTTGCCTCAGTAATCAATATGTCCCAAACCTGTGGAGTGTCTTGGTGAGAAATCTCATCACCCACCCCCCCTCCTTAAATGAACACTGCTCTGCTGTCATATCCCTGCTGCAGATCCCTGTGAAAGAGGATGCCAGAGCACTGACTGATCTCATCTCTCTCCCAAGCACTAATTTAATTTGCAAAATGTGGGGTTTTTTCTGAAGTGTGTGAACTTTCCTTACTCTGTGTTCTTGAAACATGAGTCAATGCTCTGTTTTCATCTGTATAGCCTCAGTATGTATCCTGCCTTTGCATAGAAGCCTTCAAAGCTGTGTGGCAAGGATGGTATGAAAGCAAATAGCTGTTTAAGCAATTAACTTAAGTTTTATGTGAGTCCCACTGGTAAGAAGTTTGCAGCAGTCCTTGCTGGCGACACCTTTTTGATGCTGAGCTAATGGCCAAGCCACCACACTTGGGTGGCTGTGTCTCGAAGCTCCATCTTGGTCACTGCAAACTAATTGAAGGCAGAGGAAAGTAGTAAGAAACACCTGAACTACAGAGCCAGGCCATTACCTGTGTGCTCAGGCAGTGGGATGGTGAGGTCCTGCTCTGTAAATACAAAAAGAACCGTGGTCAAGTTTATAATTTTCATTCAATTCTTAGTTTTTTTCCTATCCAAAGTTCATTCTTATAACTTGTATTTGAAACCATCTGGTCTTTAAATCAAGAGTTAATATTGTTCTCTGCAGTATCCAGGACGAGCTGGGGTTTGAACTACTTGTTTAAAATTCCCCTTGTTTTATAATTTCAGCTGAATAGTTTTAATCACTTCTTGTTGTGAGACGTGGTGCTGCACAGTAGGCTGCACATCACTGAGAAGCTTCAGTCTAGAGGTAGTTGCACTTCAGTGCCAAGG